TTGAAATAACTATTATTTGTTTATTTATTTCATTTTCTTTTTCTCTTTTGTTCACATAATTTCACTTAATAAAAGTGCAGATACAGTGTATTGTCTCTCTCTTAAGAAAGTGAGAATTGAGCAACTGCATTTCAGTTGTAGAAAAAATTTAAACTATCGTGGAGAAATTTTTTTAAAGGTCGTGGGGCACCGCTGTACCACTCACGGATTCCTGGTTACGCCACTACTTCCAAATCGTTAGTTTTTCACTAAAACTGTTGAAACTTCCATAAATGACATGGTTTTGTAGTCTAATTTCGTTGATGAAAACAAAAAGATCTCTCAACCTGGCTGTAGATGCTGAGATCTCCAGAGATCTTAAAAACCGCAGTTACAAAACATTGAAGTTATATAATTTCGATTAGTTTGGTCGACTGGCACGTGTGTAACTGAAAAGACAGTAACGGTAACTGTGTTGCCAGTTAGCGTTAAATCAACGTCGATTTTATAAAAAATGACTTTTCTCAAAAACTCCCTTTTCAGGGACAAACAAGTTTTTGCCCTACGAGCTCAACTCAACCCAACATTTATTTCAACCATGGTGTTAAATATGTACAGGAAAGCAGACACAAACATTGTAAAACAAAAGCGTAGTATTAGATACTGTTTACCATAAAGGAAAAAAGAGAAATACACAAAAACGAAATAGAGAGATGGAGAGACAGTAAATAAACAAACAAACAGCTTACAACTAAAAAAAGTTTACATGATCCTTGAGCAATTTTTTATACAAAATCTTGTTCAGATTGGCGAGTAGAACCGTTTCATCAATATTCTTAAGTAACCCTTAACTGAATTGAGCACTCAAATCTCAACTTAGTCTAAGTTAAGTGTTGCTTAGTTTTTGATGTTTCAGCAAAAAATTTCACAAGTGTCGACTCAAGTCTTCGTTTTGATTTCAATTTGTTATGCCTTGGAACATGATCTTATGTTAAGCATTAGCTTGAGACATTTTAAGTTCAAGCCATAAACTGGCACACTAAAACAGACTAAGCGCTGATTTAAGTTTGTGTACAAGTTTATAACCTTAAGAAGATTGATGACACACCTAACTGACACCTCGAACTCTAAGAGTTTCAACAGCACGTTGTATGTGCTTATAGGTTATTGTTGTAATTACTGCTTTGTGTTGTGACTTTTGTCTTTTAGAGATTTTCTCTTCGAAATTCTTACTGGCTCTTTTCTTCGTTCAACCAAAATTAAGAAAAGGTTCCTTAAACTACAATCACTTTATTTAACTATATATATAGTTGCATAAAGTGGTTGTAGTTGAAGAAATAGGTATAGATATATCTATATATATGAGAGAATAATGCGTGCATTTTTAAAATAAATTAATTTATATACAGTTCACAAATAACGTTGAAGATGAACGAATTTCGAAAAAGATTTCCGGATTTCTGAATTGTACAGGTGGCAATTCTGATCAGATACGTTGTGCACCTTGTATGTAATGATTGCATCTTTCTGGATATAATCGTTGCAGATGCACTATATGGCAGATCTAGTTCACTCAACCTAGTTAAGTAGTTACTGAGCGCAGATAGACATCTGCCTTATATACATCTGCAACGATTATATCCAAAAGATGCAATTATTACATACAAGGCGCACAACATATCTGATCAGAGCTGCCACCTGTACAAATCAGAAATCTGGAATCATAATCCTAAAAATCTGAATTTCTTTTTCAAACCAATTTTCACTGCCTTATTTAATTTTTTCTACCGTACAGACTGCCAAAAACGGTGTCTCCTCTACCTCTATATGGTTTTACTCGATAAAATACAAGGAAATATACACCAAAAATATAAATTTCGATTTTAATCGACACGCTGTTTTTCGCAGGTACATTTTTGATCCGAAAAGTAATTGGCACTTTAGCTAGAGCCTGTTACTCAAAAGCACTTAAGTATTCCACTTAAGTGGATTTTTAAGGGAAAAATTAAGTGGTACCCAAGGAATACTTAAGTTTTCATTAATGAGCATACGAATCATGAACATAACTTATAGAAAAGTAAACATTCTAAACTAATTGTGTTGAAAAGGCAGTATTGTTTGTTTGCAAGTATTGTTGTTATTGTTCACGTGTTCGAGTTTTTAATACTGCATTTTGTGTTGTAATAGATTGTATACTGAAACTTTCTTGTCGATGATATAGAAATCGATCAGTTTCATGCATGATTTTAGATGTTTCGAATTTTCTAAATCAATACACACACACACACACACACACACACACACATGCCCGAATCCTGTCGCCCTGAATCTGCGCCGGAAGATGTTGGAAAAGATCCCACCGGATCTTTCAAGTTCCAGACATCGTATTTCGCTGAATTGGAAAGAATGTATAGAAATGATTAAAGCCACGAAAACTTTCAAAAATTTGTCTTGACAGTCGGATTCATTCAATATTCACACCCATGCATATCCAGTAGTGGCTTGCGCATTTCCACTTTTTAAATGTATGCACCTAAGTGAATTTGATGGATCCAGTGAATGAATGACCATCAACTAACAAAACACGTATAAAAAAGCAACAAATAACAATTAAATTGTTAGTTGACGATGCAAGGAAATACACAAAACATGAATTTTTCCTTAATAAACGATGAGTCAATACTAAAATGTTCATTATATTACCAAAAAAGCAATTTCTAATGATTTTTCATTGAAATAATAAAATCTCTTTAGAATTAACTATCGTTTGTCACATTTGACTGATGATGTCTTTTGAATAAAGATGAAATGCCTGTAACAGAAAATACTTTATTTTCATTATGAACAAGGTGGTTTATCTCTTATTATCTATATTGAAAGATCTACTACATTCCTTTAGATAATTCATTGAAAATAATGTGTCAAAGAAATTTTGTATAAGCGAAAGGATTTAGCTAAGTTTATGTGTTCTAATCTCTATTTGTACAAAAATTGTTAAAAAGTAGTTAATTCTAAAGAAATTTGCAGAGGCAGTAATATTGTAGAAATACTTTTTAATAAACGCGGAAGACATACATCGTTTGACAGATGAATTCATTATCTACAATTGTTGAGCCATTAATAAGTCTCAAAAAAATGTCAAAGTCAGCAGCGATAAAAAGGAAAGTAAGGATTTGATACGTGGAAACATTTCAAATAATAACAATATTCTTTTTAAAACGACGTCCGTTCAAAGCAAATACAATATGTCATCGTCTTCAACAGGAGTGACACTGGATATGATAACTCAACAATTAACAATATACGCTGGTGTTTTGATTTATGGCAGTGGAGTTTTTGGTAACTGTGTAAATATCATCATGTTTAGTAGAAAAATGTTAAGGTTTTCACCTTCGTCATGGTATTTGGGCGCGTCATGTGTTGTCAGTCTTTTATATTTACAAGGATTTTTGATTAATCGTGTTTTACCAGTTGGTTTTCAAGTAGATTATTCGAGATTATCAGCGAGTTGGTGTAAATTTAGAATTTATTATGGTCTCGTGTTCGCCATTACAGCTCCAACATTGGTGTGCATTGCAGTAGTAGACAGATATTTATCATCTTGCCATAATGCTAACTTACGAGCATACAGTTCATTGAAAATAGCCAAATGCGTCATACCAATTGTCATTACATTTTGGATACTTGAAAATATTCCTGCTCTATTAGTCTATCATTTCAAGGCACCTTCAACTTGCACCTATAATAATTCTGGTTACACTATTTATATATCGTACATACTATCCCCTATACTTTACGGCTTAGCTCCCGTACTAATCACATCTATTTTCAGTTTACTCACCTACAAAAATATGCGCCAACGAATTGTTCCATCATCCGCAACACAACGTCGTGATGCACAAATATCAACAATGATCATGCTACAAATATTGATGATTGTTGTATCAACATTTCCTTTGATGATAAGAAATATTTATGCTGGCATCACATTAAATAATCAAAAAGATTCGGTGCAATCAATGTGGGAGAATTTTTTTGGACAAATAGTTTACTTGCCGTGGTATCTGAATTATTCGTCGTCGTTCTACGTTTATGTGGTGTCATCAGTCGCCTATCGTAAACAAGTAAAGAAGTTATTAATTAATAATTCATTAATGAAACGGTTACTAAGTGATCAAACAGAAACAACAATAAGGAGGAATCAGAAAAAAAGCAAAATCAAAACAGAACTTCCGGAAAAACAATTTAAGATTTCGTCGGTTTGACGATTGATAAATCTTTAACAACGACCAAACTCATCACGGGTTTGTGCTCATAAACTTTGCGGTTTACACCATGAAGTCCACCGATAACCGAACACATTTTTCCTATGGACTATGGCCAGTTTTACTATGGATCCGTTAATGTCCAGTGATCGGAAATTAACGGATCCGACTGGTTCCGGATATCAGAATGCATGGAAATTGAGCGGATTCCGATCAGCGGAATTAAAAGTATCTGACAGTATGCGATCGAGCGAATTCGATGGGGACGAGATTCTACTAAATATTACTGAATCACCATGATGTTGTACGTGAACCAATATTTCACCTGCATAAACAAATATAAAGTCTTATGTATCATTGACATAAAATATATTAGGATATTGTTCCATGTTTGTTTTGATAATATTTTATTAGCTTGTTCATCCAAATCAACTTTTTCATTATCATCACTTGAAGCCTAAATAAAAAGCAAACTATAGATATGTTTATTCCAGTTGCCGCTTAATTACATGTTTAAGTTTTTCAAATCTTTCACAAATTTTTTCTAAAAACATCCTCACATTTTCTTGTCTCACGCAACGATAAATTTTGTATTAGTTCAAATTCAATACTGATCTGCAAGAAAAAAAAGAAAGATCCAGTACTGAGTAGTTTCTCATTTATTCCAAGTTGTTCAGGTTCGGTTTTTTCTTCATACGCTAGAGGTAGAAAACTATGAGGAAAAAATGCAGATATACCTAAATCGAAAACGTTGGATCTGTCATGTGCAACATAATTTCAATTCTTTAAAGTGCAACTTTACTTTTGATCAGGTCACGTCGAAGACCAAATGATTCAACAGCTAATGCTTTAAATTCTGTTTCATTCATCATTATAAATTTAATTCATTTTCATATTATAAAATATTCCAAATTTTGATTAGAAACAAGACATGTTTTCTTACGGGAAATTGTATTTTCATTGATATTTTAGATGTGTAAGGAGCATTACTACATCTATTATTCCTATTCCTTTGTTTTATAGCAAACTGAATCGTACGAATTTTTTTGGATAATTTTATTTAACGAACTCCGAAGAAAATATTTAGAAATGTGTTAGATCAGCGAGGATAATTAGTAGTACAGCTGCATTAGAATGTTTCATCAAACTGATATTCTACACTATCATTACTTCGTATGCAGTGCACAGTGCTCTTTGATTGATATTACAATCAAAGTTAAATATGTATCATCAGATCTTTTCAATTTATACGATTTATGATACAATAAGTGAATATTGCAGTACTATTGATCAGCAAATACGTTCCATAGAATTTTCATTTTATTGCTACATATGAATTTGTACCGTATAAGTGTGTATTGGTATCTTCGTTAGTGTCAAAGAGATTCATACTGAGTAAGAATAATAAATTAGTTTGTTGATGTTGTGATTCGTACACAAAACTTTATTCCGATAGTCTCTCAATTTACTGAAACATTTTTACTTCATTTTCAAAATGTATCAGTCTCATCCAAAATAATACGATCGAAAATCTTTGAGAAAATAAAAAAAAAATATCTGTCAGTGACATAAAGATAATTAGTTTGTTTTCCATGCTTTTTTCTTTGTAAATAGTCCACGAAAAGAATTATTTATTCTGCGGGAAGAAAAGCATACAGTTACAGTATATAGGCAATATAAGACATCAAAAAACGATATTGAGAGGGTATAGAAATGGAAGAAGTATGAAAAAATAGTAACTGCAGAATTGGCAGAGCAGTATTTTTCTTTTAGTGGTAAAATATGTAGGAGGCGCAAATTAAGCACGCCTTCTTCAACATTGGAAAAAGAAGAGAGAAATGTTCTAGAGTCTAGCGATTGTTAGTTATTCTATCATTGGGACCAACTCATGTGAGTGCAGTGATAGGCCTAGAAATGACAATTTGTTAGTAGACGATAGATAGTTAATAAATTCGTTATATGACGTAATTATTATGAATTTCTTTTTGTGTCAAAAAAAAAAATAGAATGTACAGACTATATCCTACTAAGTTAAAAGGATAGGCATCAATTACATGAAAGTAGGCGAATATAAGTTTTCTCTTATTGTAAAAAGAAGGTGCTCAATTGTTTTGTATTTGAATACTTGCTGTTGCTGAAGCTTTATTGCTCTGGTAACACCTTTATCGGTCCAGGTTCAGATAGAAGTACAAATATTTTTTATCTGTGATGACATTCACCAAGTATTTTTTTCTAGAGCATGGGTAGCTGATGCATGACATAGGATGAAATTATCCTCCCAACATTGGATTTGGACATTACTGGTGCTATGTAGTTTATGCCCACATCTGACATTGTCCAAAATTATTAGACACGAAGAACAGTTTCCAGGTAACAGCATGTCTACAACCACAACATAGAAAAGAATTTTATTCTCCAACGTCTATTTTAGCTATACTTGATTTGATCAATCTATTCGATTTAACACAACATGGATGGATACCGGTTAAGTCTCAATATGAATCACATAATGACACAGTATTGACTGAACATGTAGTGAACGCACTTGACGTACTAAAATTTAATCAATTACAAAATAGTACAAACTATGCCGTGAGAGCCACAGGCAAATCAAAAGATGTTACAATGACACAAATTAATCTAAGTGAAAGATATAGAATGAAAACGCAAAATCTATATAAGGGTAAGGGTACAAAGGCGGTATTTCGTTTTTGAAAAAGATATTCAGAATAGTGACGTGTTGAACTTTTAGTGCCGTATTTATCCGAAAACTTTGTTCTTGTAACAACATTTCGATCGATAAAAGATTCAACGGGTTATTTGTTTTCCATAATGGGTACAGACAATTTACCTATATTGGAAATGAAAATTAACAAAAAAATTACTCTATTCTATCGATATGCAACGGTTAATACCGGCAAACGAGGAGAAATTCAATCGGAAACGATCAGTTTTGAAAGTGATAAAGGATGGTCGGCGAATGATGGATTGTAAGTTACCCATTTGTTCATCTTTTCACTTGAAGCAAGCAATTTCAGTAACAAGCTAAAAATTAGTCAATAAATTTATTTATTTTTTCTTTGTTTCAGGTGGCATCGCGTTGCCATATTTTTTGGTTCAAATTTAGCAGTGATGAAAATGGATGGTATATGGAATTCGCAGGCACAGTTGAATATTCCACGTTCCGAAAAATTTGATATGGGACTTGTTGCTTTTATCGGCTCAAGTGGAAATAAAGAAAATCAAAAAAATAACCTATTCAGGGTATTCTGTTCAGTCCTAAATTATTAAAATACAACAAAAATCGACATTATTATTCTAGGGCGATATTGAAGAGATACGTATAATCGCGTGGGAACCGAGTCAAGGATATGAACCAAAATCATTCACTAGTTATCATGAGAGTTCTGCAGTAAGCCTTGGAAATACCGCTTCTGTGGAGTACGAAGTATGGCATAGTGTAATTGGAAAAACAATCTGCTGTTTTATATGTTTGAACTACTCTTTAGGAAGAAGAAAATGATTACGACCAAAATACAGAACTAGGACCTATGGGACCTCCTGTAAGCTGCAGTTTATCTTAATTAAACGCTGCATCACTGCAATTCTTCAACGATCGATTTGTTATCCACTTTATCTTTCATTTAAGGGAGACAATGGTCGAAATGGAATTGATGGACCGCAGGGTGCACGTAAGCTAATCTGATTCGATTTCTTGCTGAACGTATTTGTTAAAATCTAATTATTAGCTGGAGCACCTGGTCATATCATCATCATTCCAGTAAGTATAAAAAAGGAATTCTACTAATTATATCAGCACATAAATGTTTCATCATCATTTAGTATCCAATGCAAGATGAAAAAGGACCACAAGGTCAAATGGCATCGTTACAGGGGATGCTCAGTTCACACATGGTAGATGATATTGACTTAAACTTTCTTCTATAGTTTTCAACTTTCATCCCTTTTTTAGAATGCATTGCGTGGTCTTCAAGGTCCACCAGGAAGAGCTGGATTGCCAGGAGCAATGGTATTTATAACTTTCATCTATCTTTCACGATTCTTTCTCCTCATTTATAGTTTTTTACTAATTCACTACTATTTTGAAAGAGACATTTTCCAGGATCAGCTTTTTAATAATTAATATTTGACTCGGTTAAGTTAGTCTTAACTTGTCATCGATATTGTACACAGAAATTTTATATAATGAAATATTCAGTTTTTTTTTTCTTACAGGGCATGCCAGGACCAATTGGACCAAAAGGTGACAAGGGCGAAGGTAATTTCTTAGATCTGGATTGTCTTTTCAGGTTTAATATTATGTATTTCTTCTAGCTGGACCTCAAGGTAAAACGCAACTGCTCGGATAATTGGAAGGAAAATGCTGATTGCATAGTCACCAATTTTAGGTCTAACCGGTGCACCCGGTCAAATTGGACAACCAGGTCAACGAGGCGCACAGGTAAGGCTAGCATTTGTTTTGTAATTTTTTGTTCTGAACATAAACACTTGTATATAAGTCGTTTATACTGAGAATTTATCAAAACCGAATGATGGTTGAAAAACTAGAAACCGAAAAAAGAAAAAATTCATCTACGATGAAATAAATAATTCTGAATTGTTTTTTAGGGAAATCCCGGAAGAAATGGAGAGCGTGAGTAAATGTCATACCGAGTTATCCAAATTTAATTGTGTTTGTTCAGTTTAAGAAGAAATTCTTTTTCGTTTAGGAGGCATATCTGGTTTACCGGGACCGAAAGGAGAATTGGTAAGTAACTTTGAAGTAAAATAGTATCCTAATAATAGCATCATATAAAAAATTAATTTCAAATAAGTTTCGATATATTTTGATTTTTGGACTAATCTGAAAGCATGACTAGATTTTGTGCAAAGAAAATGAATTGCTTCCGAAAAATTGAAGTCATGAAATGTCATCTGTATATACATATTTCTTCTTATCACTGAAAACTTACAGAAAAAAATTTGTGTTTTAGGGCAGTCCAGGACTTCAGGGTTTATCAGGCATTAAAGGCGACAGAGTAAGTTATTCCGTCGGTATCGATGTATCATCTCTTGGAAAATCTTTTTAGGGATATATGGGACCAGTAGGTGAACGGTAATTTTGATTTGAACTAATGAATTTGTGCTATTTTTATACTAAGCAAACTGATGTGTTGAAATTTTTTTTAAAAACAGAGGCGCACCAGGTCCTATTGGATCGCTTGGTGATGAGGGACCAATTGGCCCTGTGGGTCCACCAGGTAACTAATCAGTAATATTTAAATCGTTTATTTGTAATCGTTGGAAAACTATCTTTTTATTTAAGGTGTACAAGGTCTTCGAGGTTTTCAAGGACCGAAAGGCCCTCATGGCGCACCTGGTCCGATGGTATGATAAAGTAGTTCATGATGAATTTAATATGATTATTCATTATTGGATTGGTCAATAAAATATCAAACAAACGTTACTTCATTTTCTGTCTTGTAGGGTCCACCAGGGAACGAAGGACCACCAGGACCGAAAGGCAACGATGGGCCAACGGGCGCTGCTGGAATTGCTGGAACGCCAGGTGTATCGGGACCGCCTGTAAGACAATGTTCACGTTTTTCACAATTTTTGATTTATACTGCTCTTCTTTTAATCTGTATTTATTTAGTCTTAAAAAAATCATGTTGTTATTATTTGCATTCATATTCACACTTTCTCTTTTCATTATTTTAGGGATCACCTGGTCCTCAAGGCCCTACGGGTGAGAGTGCTGAAACTGTCTGCTGAATAGCTTGAGTCCATTGTTTTCTCTATTCAGGTATTCAAGGGCCACCGGGGCTGATGGGAAAAGCTGGTGCGCCTGGTATGCCGGGACCAGAAGGCCCAATGGCAAGTATATATGTTGTATTTATTAGGTATAGGTTTTGAGAATTTGTTAAAAACATCTGTTTATTCTTTCAATTACTAAACTTCGAAGAGGAATAGTTTCAAACAGCGTAACAAAATAAATATTATAGTACACTAAAGCATAGCTGGAAATGAAGCTTTATATTAAATTCTATTTAGGGGCCGTATGGTGAAGCTGGTGACATGGGCTTAAAGGGAGATTCAGGAATTGAAGGTCAACGAGGACAGATTGGAATACCAGGAATACCAGGCGGTAACTAATAGTTTCAGGATTAATTTCTACGCTTTTGAACTTGACGGGGAGATAGTAATCAAAACCACTCGACTTCATCAACGGGTCAATTATTGAATGATACTCATCAGAGATTGGTAAATTCTTTTTAGCAAAAGGAGATGCTGGCCTAAGAGGAATCACGGGAGAAAAAGGAGACAAAGGGGACTCTGGAATTCACGGTCAAAGAGGTGATATTGGTCCAAAAGGCGATAAAGGTAATACCACTAAAAATAAAAAATAGTGCCGCGAGAAATTATATTCTTCTGCCATTATCTTTATTTAGGTGAAAGTGGATTGAAAGGAGTTGCAGGAGCGATGGGAGAGCCGGGACCCAAAGTAAGTACCAATATACGAATATGTTGACGAACCAATACGAGTAACAATAGACTGTTTGAGTTTGGATATTTTATATACACTTATCGTGGCAAAATACTTCAACAAAACTATGTATGCTTTTCAAATAAAACTGAGTGTTTTTATGGAAAGTTTGACATCACCTTTAACGGATTACTTTTCCATTTAAATTATATCATGAAAGTTGGAAAAACTGCAGTCCATGTTCTATGTTTTTTCAATTCTGACATATTTCTTCAAACGAAATTTATTCTCAATCATTGTTTAGGGAAACGATGGACCGAGAGGTGAACAAGGTTTAATAGGTTCTCCAGGGCCAAAGTAACTTTTTATTCAACGGCATTTCTTAAATTTGATCTCTCGTAAATTCTTTTTAGGGGTCGTATGGGGCTCCCAGGGTTTCCAGGAATTCCAGGTACGTACAAATGAAAAAATTCAAATACATAGTTATTTGTGGAGCTCATAAGACTATAAGTTAAACTCGTGTTACAAAAAGATGCTGTTGCGGTTTAGGCGGACCGGGTGAAAAAGGAAATCAAGGCAAAGAAGGACGAACCGGTTCTCAGTAAGTTTTCGAGAACACTGAAGATTTTAAGCATTGGAAATTTACTTTTTTTGTTTTAGAGGACAGAAAGGTGCCCGTGGACAGGTAAGTCTCAGGAAAGGTTATTTTTACATATCAGTGTCTTGTCCCAAGTCAATTTTCTCTTTTCTAGTCCGGTCCAGCTGGAGAAACTGGTCGTCCTGGTCCACCGTAAGTTTTCAAAAGGAGATCAATAAAGTATGTTACATATTATTAATAAACGAGTTTTTTTTTGTAGAGGACCCGTGGGTGAAAGGGGACCTGTCGGCCCTATCGGACTACAAGTAAGCAAGATTCTCGAGTTTTGGCTTTTTTATTGTGGTGTGGTACTTTAGCTAGATAAAAATAGATCTTATGTTTGTATTGAATTAAATAAATGTGTATGATACTCTTTTTTGTTGAAAAGGGTCAGAAAGGCGAACTGGGCTCTGTTGGCATTCCGGGAAGTCCAGGCCCTGTGGGTTCTCCAGGATTGACGGGACCTCCAGGACTGCAAGGTGTTCCTGGTGCACAGGTAATTTCAGATTAGAAAATATTTTGAAATTACCTGAAAGCGTTTTCGTTTTAAGGGTTTCCAAGGACGAGTAAGCTGCATAAAAATGAACAAGACAAAAGCACTGTGTCAGTTATCTCTAGGATGGACCAATCGGACCACCGGGTGATCGTGGTGAGCCGGTAAGTAGTTCTGATTTGGACTTTTTGATATAGAGTCTTATATGACTATTAAAGTAAACTTCATTTCCTCCGCATCGGAACATCATATATTTATCATCTTTATGCCAAACGCTTAGATAAACTTCTATACTAAGACAGTTAAAAGCATAGTCACTGGCTATGCTTTTAACTATCTCAATCTAGAAGTGACTTGGCCAGAAGTGGCTTGTGGCTATTAGTCACAAGTCACTCCTATTTCGTATATATAACGGGTACGCAAGAAAGAATGAGTCTCTCAGTATCTTCTATTTTTCTCGTGTTCCTTGTGGACCCTAAGGTTAATGTTTCTTTAAAAGAAGCGCCGTGAAATGCTCTCTACAAAAGAAAAAAAAATGCTCTCCATATCTAAACTTTAATTTCAGAACTGCAATCAAGTAAACTACGCAAATTAGACGAAAGGCGAAAAAAATAAAAACTTTGTAAATTTCATATTTTTTTGGACTGGAACTTTTTTTTTCTGCCATTATTGTCGTAAAAAGGTGTAGCAAATGTAAGAACTCAGTTTGCTTCGTACCTTCGAATGTACTTTTTCTCGTGGTCTGTAAAAAATGTTTTTAGAGCAGATGGTGTGCTCGAGAACGACGTTTCAAAAATACGTCAAAAATTGACAATCCTCCGTTTCCAACAATATGCTCAAATAGGAAACAGAAAACAAGATCGACGTTTTAATTTCGCAGTTAGGTAGTGTAGAGCAATCATTTCTGATTAAAACAAAACAAAGTCGATCGAAAAATCTTTTGTTTTGATGGAGTTATGGGACTTTTACTGGAAGCATCACCACAAGCAGAATTTAAAAAAATTAATAAAATTTTTTTAATTTAGGGAAGTCAGGGCTACAAAACGGCTAATCCAATTCTTCTTACTTTCAAATCGTTAACCTTAGGGTCCACAAGGAACACGAGAAAAATAGAAGATACTGAGAGACTCATTCTTTCTTGC